AACCATGGGATGGCACATGTATTTTTGGATAACATTCTGTTTTTAATGAACTCTCTCCCGGTCATCTGTTCCATCCTTGAGCACTTCACTTCTTGCTGCAGTTTCTCAGTCCAACTTCGAGTGCCTCGAGCGCTATTGGCCAAGTCACAGAAGGGGGGGACAGACGGGGGAAATTCCTCCGTGGTGCTCAAATTTCCCCAATCAAATTTTCCTCACCTCCTTTGTCCGGGTCGGAACACAGCCGTATCCCGCTAACATGGTACGTTTTAGGGAAAAAGGAAGACGTCTTTGATTTCATAAATACTTACGTTTCTTCAGTTTTGCTATGTTTTGACTGTCTGGCTGTCACTGAAGCAAATGTCTCATTTGTGTTCTCCGCAGATGTTTCGAAGTGTAATTTTATTTCTACTCGTCGCAGTCGTTTGCTGTCATGCCGAGGTAAATGCTTTTTATTATTTAGATTAAAACATATATATATATATATACGATCTAGAGGACGATTCGTCTTGACAAACAAATGTTTACCTTTTTTTCAAAAGTTTATTTCTAAAATGATTTGCCTATTGTACATAATATAACAGTAACGTGCTTGTCTGATTGGTCAGTTTAACTTGGGACAGTCTGATGTGTGGACGTTTTTATATGAATAACTAAACACAGTAATTTAGAGAAGACAAAGAGTTCAGAAAAAGAAGAGGTGGAGCCTTGCACATCTGTCCAGCTTCAAATATGTAATGTCTACATTCACTAAACCAGTGCCTTTGAGTGCATGTTGTGTGTACAGTATGTGCCAATGAAACAGCAGCATATTCTAATTAGCTCCAAACCATAAGTATCAATTAATCATCTTTACCGTACAGACTTGATTTGTAATATATTTAGGAGAACATTGGAAGATAATTAATGTGCTGTCTGCCTGCCGTTTACATCAAGCAAATCCTGTTCACTGCTGTTGAATGTACTTCACTTCAGCATTGGCCTTTATTTTTTAATTTTTGGGGGGTTGTTCACCCCTGTTTCCAGTAAACTACTTCTGATTGGTTGCCATGCAGGAACAGTGGTTCACAGTTGTTTGTAGAGCCGCCACTTTGGTCATTGACCACCAGTGTAGTATTGTTGACTTGTTGGTGGCTCTGGCTAGGTTTATGGCGTTTGTCTTGTTAATTAACTGGTTGTGTGCTGTGGTGGCCAGAGAGGTGATTGATGGTCCCAGAGAAAATAGACCAATATAACAGACAATTGGGAAAGCCAATGAGGATAATTTTTTGTCGCACCTCAAACACAGACACACACAAGCACTGCAGATAGACAAGCATCCACGCACACACACACACACACACACACACACACACACACACACACACACACACACACACACACACACACACACACACACACACACACACACACACACACACACACACACACACACACACACAATGCCAGTGCCCTGCAATGACACAATCCAGGTGTTTTCTTACTATGTATTTGTGTGCGTTTGTTTATCCTCTTTACCTGTTTAACCAGCTGTGAAATACCCAGCTTGGCAGCTCTTAGGTGTTGATAAACACAGATGACAGATGTGTCACTCTTTTCAGCTACAGCCCTGGGGCCACATCTTCTATATTTGTATGAATGTGTGTCTATGTCCTCATCTAGCTGCACATGTACACTGAGTCAGAGAACATGCCCTAGACCTCCACATCCGAAGACTTGCAGTCATGACAAGGAAGAAAGTGGTTGTTGTGTTTAATCCATTTGCTCTATCTGTCTGGATTTTCCAGTTGTTGGTCTAGATTTCTAAAGGTTCATTTCAAAGCCAGCCTCCTTTCCTACCTGTTTCACTCCAGATTATACTGTGGTTGACAGGCGTGTGGTGCAGTGCCCTCATGCCCTCACTTGTGGCACCACTTCAGAGCTATCCTCAATGCCCTCAGTGGAAACGCTTGTTTGCTCTCCTACACAGAGGAGGAGGAAAGGTTGATGTTATTCACTGTGTTTTATGTTAGTTTAAGGTTTCCCCATCTCTGTCTTTCTCTTTTGTCTCTGCCTTTTTTCCCCCACTCTCTCCCTGGCATGTTTCCCAGATTCATGGAGTGAGAGAAAGAAAGGGAGAGAGAGGGAGAAGGAGAGAGAGGGGGAAAACCAGCCAATTTCTAGCCCTATTAGGGGGGCAATTAGTCTCAAACTGTGGTCTGGATGACTGAAGCTGTTGCCTGGATGGCTGATAAGGAACATAGCACGAATGAGTGCATAACCGCCAACTGATAAACACAACCTTGTAGTGTAGAAAGGCTATTTACAGCAAGGTTGTCTTGTATTAACACAATGGTCTATAACTGTTTATAACTGTTCATGGCAGTTTATAAAATGTGCTAGCTTGGCCTTACTCAAGAGTGTGTGATTGGAACATTGCTCTGCTCAAGAATGCATGTCTTGTCCTAGAGTGTGTCTCCGTCTCCTCCTCCTCTAAACATCTGTCAGCCATTAGCTCACCCTCTCCGCCTGCACAGAGCAACACAGGAACAAGCCCGTTCTGCCATGACACCACTCAGCACCAGCCAAGACTATCCAGGGAGAGAGGGAGGGAGGAGAGGGAGAGGAGTTATAGACATAAAAATAAGAGTTTGAGACAGGAGGGAGGAAGAAAGTGGGTGAGAGAGAGAGTGGGATGAACAAGTGAGAAACAAGAATGGGAGAGTGAGATATAGGCGAGTGAGAGTTAGTTGAGAGACTAGCCGGGGAGAGAGGGTGGGAGGACGGGGGAGAGGAAGGGAGAAGAGGGGAGCTATACACAGTTAGGGGGAGAGGAGTTTGAGACAGAGGAGGGAGGAAGGGAGCGGTTGGGAAGTAGAGGGATGTAGAGATGAGAAACAAGAGTGGGAGAGTGAGAGAAAAGAGAGTTAATGTAGAGAGGATGACAGTTGGAAGATGTGCGAGAGGGGTAGAGAGAGAGAATGCGTTGGCATTTGGTAGTCTCTCTCTGCTGCTCGCTCTTCTTGCCGAGCCCTTCACTGACGGTTACTCAGTCCATTCAGCTCCTACACCTCATTGTCTTCCCATTCACACGCCACCCTCCGTCAGCTCAATACACAACCACAAGATTCCCAAGGATTTATGGAAGATGTTATATACAAGGCTTTTTGGTGGGTGGGAGAAGCACTGTAACGGCATTCCATTCACCCAGCATGAGAACGGACTTGAAACAATAAGGCTATAGGCTGATTAGGCTGTTAGAGCCTGCCTTTTTGCTCATGACATCACCTTGGCATTCATTGGTTCAAACAGCCGTTAGGAACGAGACGCTCTATCTAAACCAATCACTTTTAATACAGTGAATGAATGAATGAGTGAATTTGTCATAGACCATCAAATAATGAATGAGAGCCTGTGGAATGCCTATTCATAACCTCCCCAAGATCTCATTAATGAAAGCTTTTAATACATAATGCATGATGCAAATGCATCTACCAATATTCTAATTTAAATGCATGGAATTCTTTAAAGAGAATAAGTTCTACAGCAGCAGCTAGGATACTGCAAATTCAGCCGAAACTTCCAAGAAGATCTATGAAGAGAACTGGAAAAGAGGGAGAATCAGAAAGGGCGTTTTCAAATAGAATTTGTACCTGAAGTTTTTGAACACGGACCGAGTTCTCAGTGCTCAGGTTGAATGTGTGAGTGGAGGAAAAGGCTGTCAGTTCTTGGGTTAGAAAGCTGGCCTTTTTGGATGCTAGCCGAGGCGTGAGAGAGCCTATGAGGAATTCACTGCCCCCCTTAACGCCCTCTTAGCTCTTTAAAGCTTAATTTGAAACTTGTGTTTTTGTCCGAGCAAGACGCTCTGACGAAATGTTCAGAGAATCCATGTTTTTATTTATTTATGCAAGCATACTGCTTGTTGGGAATGCAAAATAAAACAAGAAGTAGAATAAAAATAATTGCCAGCTTTAGAAACAACTGGAATTCATGACATAATGAAAGATGTATGCATTGACTCAATTCACTTTGTCAGGTACCATTTTAGGGGCGTATAGCGACTATTATTAGTACCTATTGACTTGCCTGACGCCTGATTCAAGGTCTAAAACTGAAAGTTCAACAAGTCACACTTGTCAAAGAATCACTTTGTGCTAGTGTCTTCTAATCCCGTCTCTGTCTCGTAAGTAGTGAGCACGAAACCTGTGGTCAAGCAGCTGCTTCTTCCCGAAGAAGTCTCATAAAGACTAATATGGAGTTGACAAAGTTTCCCTCCCGGCTGGGACACCTCAGGCCAGATGTCCGCTTACAAACCAGGGCCACACAGGGTCACCTCCTCCGTGATCAGAGCCCTCTGACCCCCCCATTGTGGAAGTCTAGTGGCCCCCCACCTCCCTCACCCTCCCGACAGCAGCTTACTTCCCAACATGATGATGGTGTCACACACAGCTCAGACCCTTGTGCGTGCATGTGTATTAGGTGATACAATATTATTACGATATGTATTGCGATTCTTACGATTCTATATGTATTGCAATTGGATACTGTGTTTTTATTTGCGATTCGGTGTTCCAAACATATTGCTCACCATCTGCTGCAGACAAGAGACAGCCATGTTAAAATGAGTTTTGATCAGTCATGGAAATAAAAGTGCTGAAAACAAATGGGCTCTCTATTTAAAAAGAAGATGGAGAACAAGCTATGAAGGAAAAATACTGGAGTTTTGGTGCATATACAGCAGACTAGCACAAAAACAATATTGCAATGTTGTTAAAACGATAAGATATGATATATCGTCAAAAATAATATCTCAATATGTAATTGTATCTTTTTTCCCCCCATCACTAATGTGTATGTGCGCTCATGCATGGGTGCGAGCATGCCAGAGCCTGAGGGCGTTTGTTTGTTTGTGTGTGTGTGGTGTGTGCGTTTGTTTGCGTGCACGCGTGTGTGTGTGTAGGCTAAGCAGCAGGAGCTGGGCTGTGCAAGTGCTAAATGGGTCAACACAGCTGGAGCGAGCAGCCATGGCCCTGGAAGTAAGAGGGTTTGTCTGGGTGAGCAGTCCCCCAAATCAGGCCTTTGACCTGGGCAGGAATGCCTGGTATGTGGGGTGAGCTCTCTCAATTGGGCCTAACCTGGGTCATTGACTGTAATAGATAAAAGAATGCTGTTCACTTTAGACACTCTTTAGACACACTTATTAAGGCACAACTTGCCTGATTGTTATTGGTTTGTGTATGTAGTTTATACTAAAATTGTGATGCCATGTAGATGGATCAGGCAAGTTTGAAGTTGTTCTGCAAATACATGTAGTTCAAGTTCTGTACTGTATGGAACGTAATTGCTGGAAAAAGTACCCAATTGTCATACTTGAGTAAAAGTAAAGATACCTTAATAAATGACTCAAGTAAAAGTGAAAGTCACCCAGTAAAATAGTACTTGATTAAAAGTTTAAAAGTATTTGGTTTTAAGTATACTTAAGTATCAAAAGTAAATGTAATTGCTAAAATATACTTAAGTATCAAAATTAAAAGTAAAAGTATAAATCATTTAAAATTCCTTATATTATGCAAACCAGACGGCACAATGTTCTTGTTTTTTATTTATTTACGGATTTGGCTACCATGGCTATGCCCCCATTGGATGACAATGCCCCCATCCACGGGGCACTAGTGGTCACTGAATGGTTTGAAGAGCATGAAAACGATGTAAACCATATGCCATGGCCGTCTCAGTCACCATATCTAAACCCAATTGAACACTTATGGGAGATTCTGGAGTGGGCCTGAGACAACAAAACACCAAATGATGGAATTTCTCGTGGAAGAATGGTGTCAAATCCCTCCAATAGAGTTCCAGACACTTCTAGAATCTATGCCAAGGTGCTTTGAAGCTGTTCTGGCTCGTGGTGGACCACCGCCCTATTAAGACACTATGTTGGTGCGCCTGCTGGCTGACCCCGGTCGTCAGGTGAACGTGTTTCCTCCGACACATTGGTGCGGCTGGCTTCCGGGTTAAGCGGGCGGGTGGTAAGAAGCGCGGTTTGGCGGGTCATGTTTCGGAGGACGCATGACTTGCCCTTCGCCTCCTGAGCCCGTTGGGGAGTTGCAGCGATGAGAAATTGGGGAGAAAAAAAAGACACTATGTTGGTGCTTCCTTTATTTAGGCAATTGCCTGTACATTCTCTCTGCAGGGAGACAAGAGGCCCTTCTTTGCTGTTTGTCCTTCTGTTTAGATGTATAAGGCTCCCTTCCCCAATAGCCACAGACAGCCTTACATGAGACAGGGCTACGGTACAAAAACAACATTTCGATTATTTCTTTGTCTGCTTGCAAAGGACTAATGTGACTCATATGTTCAGTTCACTGTGGGCCCAGTGATTTGGGTCTTTGTGAGTTATGAAGTATAGACATTACACACGCTCCTCTCCTGGAAAGCACTTTAGAGTTAAAGGTCTCAGCAGTCAGCCAGCTGGTAAGATTAGTCATAGACTATAATCAGCCTCTACAGCCTTTTTACTGGCTTTCAAAGAGAATATGACATTGGCAATTACATTTTATGTAAAGCCATTTGAAGCTTTGATGACAAAGGATCTTGAAGTTACACCTAAGATGTGACTTTGGTTTGTCATTGAACAGTATCTTTTCATTACTCATCCAAAGTAGTCCATGCAAACACGCACACGCACGCACGCACGCATACACACACACACACACACACACACACACACACACACACACACACACACACACACACACACACACACACACACACACACACACACACACACACACACACACACACAACAGAAAGGAGAGAGTATTTTCTTCCCATCTTAATGACCTAATTACAGTTATAGCTTATTATAACTCAAACCTTAACATCGTTTTTTGTTGTTGTGTGTGACCTCTCTTTGTTTTAGAAAATATTTATTTGCCAAATAGGACGATGAAAGTGACACTTCCTTTGTTTGAATCGAAGGAAACCATGTTTGTTTGTTTTTGGGAATAGGTCTGTTTCTTGTCTACAACTGGGTGCTGGAAGGTTTCTCCAAAGTGAACACTCACTGTTGTGTAGAATAGTGTACTCATTGTGTTTTGCTCACAGTCTGTCCACACTTCCTGTGTTTGAGTCCTACCGGTCTCTAGTAACTCTCTGTGTTGCTGGTATGAACCTCACAGAAACTTAGTGTTGGCCTTATAGTTCATTCTGTCTGTAAAATGCCATTATCCAATATAAATCCAATAAATTGACCTTTGGTTGTCTGACAATGCATAGTCATTAGTCATAGTTTAGTGTAAGTGGTGGTCATCCCCACTACAGCACCTCCCAAGTGATAATTCAATCATGGAGTCTTAGTCTTGGCACTGGTTTGAATATTTACCACGGTTGGAGAACACAGTTGCTCTCCCCACACTGTGGAGTGACCAGACCAGGCCAATGTTTGCTGTCTGTCTCTCTGCTAAAGTAATCACTGTTCCCTGTGTGTTCTTCCTGCTCTCTTCTAGGCCTCTCCCTCCAAAAGACCCAAAGCGGCTGTGAAAAAAAGAGCAGAAACAGTTATCCCTGTAGCCATTTTAACATCTTCCCCTGAGGCCCCTCAGAACGTGCTGGTGGAGCCAGAAGCCATGTAGGCAGTGTTGTGTAGAATTGTGTACCCGTTGTGTTTTGCTCACAGTCCATTCACACTCACTTCCTGTGTTTGAGCCATATGGGCAAAGATTGTGGATAAATGAAGATAGTTCACTCAGGCTGTTTACCATAGACACCAATGCAATAGCAGCTGTGTCTGGTCTAGTTAGTTCAGTGACTTTCATTGAACCCAAAAAAAAAAACCAGCGAGTGGGGTGTCTCACGTCCTCTTCCGTCTCTGCTATGGGTCTCCAGTAGCTCTCTGGATACACCAGAGAGGAAGAGGCGATGTGAGAGAATTTACTCTGGCCAAAATCTGTCCACGAAAATAATACCAAGAAGTGAGGGATTTTGGTATGTAGGTCAATGAGAGAGTGTCGAATTTGGGGTAAACCGGAGTTAAGTTATACTCAGATAAGTAGGTCATTTAGAAACGAGGTTCCTTGGAGAACAGATGGAAGGCTCTCTCCCCAGCTGATTGGTTCTTCTAACCCTATTAAAGCCATGATTGGTTTGGTATGCCCCTGACTTAGTTATTTTTTTGTAAACATTTTTTTTTTTACAGTGTCTTCACTTTGCGCTATAAAAGAAGTTAGGATTGGATGGGAGAGTCACAGGTTGGACATGCTCCCAAATTCCTCATCTTGGCTCTGCAGGGGAATGTTTGCGCCCTCGTTTCCCTGAAGAGTCTTTCTTCTTGTTGTCTTCCACTCACGCTATCCACCTCCCTCTGGGCACACAGAGAGAGGAGTCAGTCCAGACCAGACGCTCCAGCTGAGAATGCAAATCTGTGTGTGTGTTCAAGTGTGTACAGCTCCTCTGTTAGACAGCTCGAAGATGGAAGTATTTTCCCCATCAGCTCTTGGCCTGTGGACCGACCCTGCCATAAGTCTTCACATGGACTAATGAAAATAAACGCCTGAGACAGGGGGTCTCGACCTGACCTGCATATCGTACAGTGTGTGTGTGTGTCTGTGCGCGCATGCGTGCATGTGTGTGTCAGACCTAGGTTCAAATAGTACTCAAAATCATTTCAAATGCTGGGCTTGATTGGGCTTGCTGGGCGGCGCACAATTGGCCCAGCGTCGTCTAGGGTAGGGGAGGGAATGGCCGGCAGGGATGTAGCTCAGTTGGTAGAGCATGGCGTTTGTGACTTTTCTGTCGACTTATCTTTTTGTCTGTGAAAATCTCAACACACATGCCAGCCAAGCAGTGACATACCAGCAGATACTTATGATTGTTGCTAATAATTTCCTGGAATACTTAAGTAGGGCTGTGTGGCCGGGCAGGCAGGTCAACGGTGAGAGGTCGGAAGTCACTAGGCTCAGGCAGCTGATGCTCTCTGACCTCCCGTCATGCCATCTGTGACAACAGGCTGCAGTCTGTACATGAACCCACTCATATATGCATAGAAAACATAATAACAACATATTAGTGCCATGCAGATTCCAACATGAAGGTATTGTATTGTGGTATACTGGAAGAATAGAGGGTCTCCCATTCACCATCCTGACCCACTACTCTTTTGTGATGGAAGTTAGACCTCTTGGCTTCATAGCAGTCTTGTTCATTCTCTGTTTAGTTCATCTCAGGGCTGTTCAAAGGACCACCAAATGTTGGATTCTCGTAGATTGATTTATGTTTTCCTGAATGGAAGGCCCTTTCTGGACAATGCTGTAGTGTGTCACTCAATGTTTTCTATTTGTTTGGAGGAATTTCCTGTTGTCTTCGTAACAGCAGAGCCTTGTGGGAAACAGTTGACCCGTAAAGGAATAAATCCCAGTCAAATAGACATTCCTCTGCCTCCTCTACGTGTGTGTGTCCTTACAAGCATAGTAAAACAAGGAAAATATGGACATGTGGGGACATTTTGTCCAACCCCACAAGGAAAAATGATATTTTAGGCTTAAGGGTTAAGGTTACAATTAAGGCTTGGGTTAGAATTAGGGTTTAGGGTTAGGAGTTTAGGGTTAGGGGTTTGGGGTTTGGGGTTAAGGTTAGGGTTAGGTTAAGTGTTTGGAGTTAGGGAAAATAGGATTTTGAACAGGAATCAATTGTTTGGTCCCACAAGGATAGTAAAACAAACGTGTGTGTGTGTGTGTGTGTGTGTGTGTGTGTGTGTGTGTGTGTGTGTGTGTGTGTGTATACAGTGAGGGAAAAAAGTATTTGATCCCCTGCTGATTTTGTACATTTGCCCACTGACAAATAAATGATCAGTCTATAATTTTAATGGTAGGTTTATTTGAACAGTGAGAGACAGAATAACAACAAAAAAAATCCAGAAAAACGCATGTAAAAAAGTTACCCAGTCCCTCCTGCAGCAAAGCACCCCCACAGCATGATGCTGCTTCACGGTTGGGATGGTGTTCTTCGGCTTGCAAGCCACCCCCTTTTTCCTCCAAACATAACAATGGTCATTATGGCCAAACAGTTCTATTTTTGTTTCATCAGACCAGAGGACATTTCTCCAAAAAGTGCGATCTTTGTCTCCATGTGCAGTTGCAAACCGTAGACTGGCTTTTTTATGGCGGTTTTGGAACAGTGGCTTCTTCCTTGCTGAGTGGCCTTTCAGGCTATGTTGATATAGGACTCATTTTACTGTGGATATAGATACTTTTGTACCTGTTTCCTCCAGCATCTTCACAAGGTCCTTGTTCTGGGATTGATTTGCACTTTTCGCACCAAAGTACGTTCTAGGAGACAGAACGCGTCTCCTTCCTGAGCGGTATGACGACTGCGTGGTCCTATGGTGTTTATACTTGCGTACTACTGTTTGTACAGATGAACGTGGTACCTTCAGGCGTTTGGAAATTGCTCCCAAGGATGAACCAGACTTGTGGAGGTCTACAATTTTTTTTCTGAGGTCTTGGCTGATTTCTTTTGATTTTCCCATGATGTCAAGCAAAGAGGCACTGAGTTTGAAGGTAGGCCTTGAAATACATGCACAGGTACACCTCCAATTGACTCAAATGATGTCAGTTAGCCTATCAGAAGCTTATAAAGCCATGACATCATTTTCTGGAATTTTCCAAGCTGTTTAAAGGCACGGTCAATTTAGTGTATGTAAACTTCTGACCCACTGGAATTGTGATACAGTGAATTATAAGTGAAATAATCTGTCTGTAAACAATTGTTGGAAAAATTACTTGTGTCATGCACAAAGTAGATGTCCTAACCGACTTGCCAAAACTATAGTTTATTAACAAGAAATTTGTGGAGTGGTTGAAAAACGAGTTTTAATGACTCCAACCTAAGTGTATGTAAACTTCCGACTTCACCTGTATGTGTGTTGTGTTTGTGTTCTTTAGTCATCTGGACACTCCATGACATATTGGTCCAGTGTCTGTCTGTCTACCATCTGCCCTATAAAAGTGTGGGTGTCTTTTGTCTGACTGTGTTGGCTGAGAGAACATGTGTCGCCATGTGTGTGTGAGGACATTTTCTAAAACATTGTTATGCTAAAGTCACTGTGGCTTAGTGACCCTCGCTGTGAATGAAAGGTCACAGGTCAACGGGCTGTTCAGACTTCCATCTGGAACTGGGGGTCTGGATAGCAGTCTGGAAGATTTAGATAGCAGACAAAAGGGCAACACACTTCTCTCGCTCTCTCTTTCGTTCTCTCTCTCTCTTTCTCTCTCTGTGTGTTGGTGTGGATGTGTTTGGGTTTGAGTGTAAAACAAATATATATATTGAAATAACATGTAGTGTTTCTTAAAATGTAACATATGTCAAGACATCTAAAACAGAATGTAATGTTATACACATTAGAAAACCCTACCACTAGGAAGTGAAGGGCATATCGCCATCTAGTGACTGCCTTCATGAAAGCATACTCTATCTATCTATCTATCTATCTATCTATCTATCTATCTATCTATCTATCTATCTATCTATCTATCTATCTATCTATCTATCTATCTACAGTTGAAGTCGGAAGTTTACATACACCTTAGCCAAATACATTTAAACTCAGTTTTTCACAATTCCTGACATTTAATCCTAGTAAAAATTCTCTGTCTTTGGTCAGTTAGGATCACCACTTTATTTTAAGAATGTGAAATGTCAGAATAATAGTAGAGAGAATGATTTATTTCAGCTATTATTCCTTTCATCACATTCCCAGTGGGTCAGAAGTTTACATACAATCAATTAGTATTTGGTAGCATTGCCTTTAAATTGTTTAACTTGGGTCAAACGTTTCGGGTAGCCTTCCACAAGCTTCCCACAATAAGTTGGGTGAATTTTGGCCCATTCCTCCTGACAGAGCTGGTGTAACTGAGTCAGGTTTGTAGGCCTCCTTGCTCGCACACACTTTTTCACTTCTGCCCACAAATGTTCTATAGGATTGAGGTCAGGGCTTTGTGATGGCCACTCCAATACCTTGACTTTGTTGTCCTTAAGCCATTTTGCCACAACTTTGGAAGTATGCTTGGGGTCATTGTCCATTTGGAAGACCCATTTGCGACCAAGCTTTAACTTCCTGACTGATGTCTTGAGATGTTGCTTCAATATATCCACATCATTTTCCTTCCTCATGATGCCATCTATTTTGTGAAGTGCACCAGTCCCTCCTGCAGCAAAGCACCCCCACAGCATGATGCTGCCACCCCCGTGCTTCATGGTTGGGATGGTGTTCTTCGGCTTGCAAGCCACCCCCTTTTTCCTCCAAACATAACAATAGTCATTATGGCCAAACAGTTCTATTTTTGTTTCATCAGACCAGAGGACATTTCTCCAAAAAGTGCAATCTTTGTCCCCATGTGCAGTTGCAAACCGTAGTCTGGCTTTTTTATGGCGGTTTTGGAGCACTGGCTTCTTCCTTGCTGAGCGGCCTTTCTGGGTATGTCGATATAGGACTCATTTTACTGTGGATATAGATACTTTTGTACCTGTTGCCTCCAGCATCTTCACAAGGTCCTTTGCTGTTGTTCTGGGATTGATTTGCACTATTCGCACCAAAGTACGTTCTAGGAGACAGAACGCGTCTCCTTCCTGAACGGTATGATGGCTTCGTGGTCCCATGGTGTTTATACTTGCGTACTATTGTTTGTACAGATGAATGTGGTACCTTCAGGCGTTTGGAAATTGCTCCCAAGGATGAACCAGACTTGTGGAGGTCTACAATTGTTTTCTGAGGTCTTGATTTTCCCATGATGTCAAGCAAAGAGGCACTGAGTTTGAAGGTAGGCCTTGAAATACATCCACAGGTACACCTCAAATTGACTCAAATGATGTCAATTAGCCTATCAGAAGCTTCTAAATTTATGACATAATTTTCTGGAATTTTCCAAGCTGTTTAAAGGCACAGTCAACTTAGTGTATGTATACTTCTGACCCACTGGAATTGTGATACAGTGAATTATAAGTGAAATAATCTGTCTGTAAACAATTGTTGGAAAAATTACTTGTGTCATGCACAAAGTAGATGTCCTAACCGACTTGCCAAAACTATAGTTTGTTAACAAGACATTTGTGGAGTGGTTGAAAAACGAGTTTTAATGACTCCAACATAAGTGTATGTAAACTTCCGACTTCAACTGTATGTTATAAGCTAGTGAGCAAAATGTAAAATGTGGTCACTTGTGATCACAATAGAAAATGATCCATGTCAATACATGATATTATGTTATGGATTTAATTGTGCAGAATTTACAGTTACAATGTTATCTGACTCAGCCAAGTAGACCAGGTTCCGGTAAAATCACCTCTTTTTCTAAATCTAACATTACTCAAGAATTGTATAATAATGCATATTGCTCAAATAAACCTAAAATGACTGCATTCCGGTCTATTTTTGTACTTGTAAATCTAGCTACTTTAGTCAACACTAGATGGCGATGGTCACCTTCAATGAGATCGCTCTGTTGTTTATGGCGGCAGTAAGAAGGACCCTTTCCTATTACTTATTACTGTTCATTCTTATGAATTTCCTTAGTATTTCCTTGTATCTTTCTGATGGTGTTGATTAGAAGAATGGATGTAATCTCTATTTCTTTGCAGGAGGAGATGTTCGTCATTTGAATTTATATAGGAGATGTTCATACATCATCACACAAGTAGAAGGCATCAGACATAGAATCTCCCATGTCTTCTGTGTCTCTGCCTATAGGAGGGGAAGAGCAAGTCCAAGGTGTGTGCCAATGTGTTCTGTGGGGCTGGCAGGGAGTGTGCTGTGACAGAGAAAGGGGAACCTTCCTGCCTGTGCATCGAGGTGAGTTTTAGCGTATACACACACGCGCAGGCAGGCACGCGCACACACACACACACGCATGCACACACACATTCACACACACACATTCCTGAAAAAGACCAAATGTCTCACAGCTCAGAGTGAAAACGGGTGTGCTCTCTCTCTCTCTCTCTCTCTCTCTCTCTCTCTCTCTCTCTCTCTCTCTCTCTCTCTCTCTCTCTCTCTCTCTCTCTCTCTCTCTCTCTCTCTCTCTCTCTCTCTCTCTCTCTCTCTCTCTCTCTCTCTCTCTCTGTCCTCAGCAATGCAAACCTCATAAGCGCTCTGTGTGTGGCAGTAACAGTAAGACCTACCGCAACCACTGTGAGCTCCACCGTGACGCCTGCCTGACCGGCCTCAAGGTCCAGGTGGACCACGACGGACACTGTGAAGGTAGGGGACACTGAAATGAATCCCCAGGTTGTGTAAGGCATAGAAAATAATTACTAGAATGGACAAAGCCCCTCAGACCATGCACATTTCAAACTCAATATAGCTACCGGTCCTCCCATCACAGAGCATTACCTTGAATGGGAAAGTCTGTTCTGGGAATTCTATTTCTGAGGTCCAAGGAACATTCTGCAATAAAGAGGAGATTAAGCGAATCGTTTGCAGTTGTTTTGACTGTGTTATGATTTCTTTCAGAGACAAAGACAGACAAAGCTGTTGCTGCTAGCCCAAGTAAGTATACTGCTCAAGGTCATGGGGCCCATTGTCTCAGAGAGGTTAATGAATAATTGATTAATAATAGCAGTATGTTCATTTTATGCTATCCTTGCATGCACTGTGGAAGATACACTGTTGGATATTCCTTTACACTTTCACACAACAGCTATGCACTCAAGGGAAACACACAGACACACACACCCACACTCACACCCAGCCCCCCCAACACACACACACACACAACACAACACACACACAAACAGCAGTACTCTCACATACTTAGTTCCAGTAAAAACACACTGTAAATATTAGCGAGTCTGTATAATTATTCAGTTGTCTGCAGTACTGACCCTCTCCACTCTCTCCCTCTCTGCCTGTGTAGTCGTGTGCTACCTGGCCAACAGGAACGAGCTGCGCAGCCGGGTCATCCAGTGGCTGCAGAATGAGGTGGTCCCTGACGGCTGGTTCGCCAAGGGCTCCAACTTCTCTGACATCCTGCTCAAGTACTTCAAGGTAGGTCGGACTTGTGTGTGTTTGTGGGGTTGGGTGGGTGGGTGGGTGGGTGGGTAGGTGTGTGTGTGTGTGGAGACATAATACTTTCATAGTTTAACTACTGCTGTAAAATAATGGAAAACTGCAGGGAAAAGTACCGAACAGCTTATTAAAGTGGAATGGAGTATTTATTTCTAAATGGTCCTGTCCTAGAAAGTCCTCCGCTGTCCTCATCTTAATAAAATGGCTAAGATTACAATCCGTTAGCATTTATGGCAAACCCAATGACTCTGGAAGCAGCAGAATGAAACATTTCACTTGCAGCAGCTCTACTGAGACAGAATATGTTGAAAGTTCACTGAGTTCTCCCCCTCTGTCCATTAGTTATTTATTTTGTTCTGTGGGCCAAGAGACACAGCATAGAAAAGGCCCCACAGCAAGCACAGACTGTTTAACATTCTTCCCACTGCCCAGCACTTGAACACATAACAGCAGTTATGCAACAGCTCTCGTACACTGGTCCCCCAAAGAATCAAGATCATCTCCCCCTGTTTGCCTGTGTGGTTAACACTTCACACAGAAAGCCCATATTAGAGCTCTGATGGTCGTCTCCACCATTTATTTTCATACTCAATAAAGCAAAAATAATCATACTAAAGAGTGGTGGAATTCCACTCTCCTCATAGGCTCAAAATGAAAATGTATGAATTAATATTCCTACAGGACTACGACAATGGAGACTCCCAGCTGGACTCCACTGAGTTCCTTAAATTCCTCCAGCACAACGAAACAGCCATCAACATTACCTCATATGCTGACGAGGAGAACAACCGCCTGCTCAGGTGAGACTCAACCACTTGCCCAGAGTCAGTAGCACACAGCTGTCAATCATCACAGACCAGCTCAGATGACCTCCACCCACTGTTCGATACTCAGTGAGCCCAAATAATAATCGGGTAACACTTCACTTAAAGCCTGCAGGTGTAATGCATTCTGAGGCATTGGTAATGCATTGCAAGTCATGAGCATGTATGACCCGATTATTATCTTATAATCATGTCATGATGATCCTGACTAAATACCAGCCATTTTGATGTTTATACATATAATGCCAAGTGTTACTTACTGATATTTGCATAGTGCAGTCCATCAAATTCTGTAGAATTCAGTTGTTCAGTTGTTGCCCTAATCAAAGTGTTAATTAAACTGTTAGGTTCTTATTGTCTAATCTCACCCTGCTGCACCTTTGCAGCCATGGTGAGTGTTCTGTAGATTACTACAGTTTTGACTGTATGTAATCATCAAATAATGTAATTGATAAGACTAGGATGAGTGATGTAGATTTGTTATATCACAGTTGTTTACATGGTGACCTCGAGACAGGGTGTACAGGGGCGGGGGTGGGGTAGGGGGATGGGCAATTTGGGGGGGGGCTGAAAGTGCTGTTTTGGCAGTTCTGCCATGTTGAGTTGGCTTGTTTTGATGGGAAGTGGTGGTGGGTCGGGGTGGGAATGGGGCTGGGGCTCAGTGGCACCACACTGGCTGTCCCGTGGGACCATACCCCTCTCCCATGCATCATGGGTCTGGGCACGGGCGCAGAGACCGACACAGGGATTTGGGCAGTATCAACTCTCATTCATGTGTGGAATCTTCCCTCCCAATGTGTGTCGGCTGGCTATCTGGGGTCATCTGTGAGATAGGCCAGAGTTAAAGGGCAACTGGACTGGCATTAGCCTGATCCCAGATCTGTTTGTGCTGTCTTGCCAACTCCTATGGTCATTGTCATTCCAATGTTTTAGTTTCAAAAGACGCCAAAAACAAAATAGTGAGGCATGGCTTGGTTTAGGCATGGTTTGGTTTAGGCCCAGTCTAAGGAACATTGAGGAACATTGGCAGTGCATTCGGAAAGTATTCAGACCCCTTCCGGTTTTCCACATTTTGTTACGTTATTCTAAAATTGATTAAATTCATTTTGTTCCTCATCAATCTACACACAATGCCCCATAATGACAAAGCAAAAACAGTTTTTTTTAAAAATTTCTGCTAATGTATTAAAAATAAAAAACGGAAATACCTTTGAACGGGGTATGGTAGTAGGTGCCAGGCGCACCGGTTTGTGTCAAGAACTGCAACGCTGCTGGGTTTTTCAATGCTCAACAGTTTCACGTATGTATCAAGAATGGTCCATCACCCAAAGGACATCCAGCCAATTTTACACAACTGTGGGAAGCATTGGAGTCAACATGGGCCAGCAACCATGTGGAACGCATTCGACACCTTGTAGATTCCATGCCCTGACAACTTGAGGCTGTTCTGAGAGCAAAAGGGGCTGGGGTGCAACTCAATAATGTTTTGTCAACTCAGTGTATATGCTTTAGCTCCAGTGAAATGGTAGTAACAGTAGTCTATTTTGCTGTATTTCCCTCCTGTGTCTTATTGGCCCTATTGTTAATGCCCGCACCTCTCCTGTTGGTCTCTAGAAGCCTGTGTGTGGATGCCCTCATCGAGCTCTCAGATGAGAACACGGACTGGAAGTTGAGCTTTGATGAGTTCCTAAACTGCTTCAAGCCTGGCTTCAACCCACCAGAGAGAAGTAAGACTTACACCATATACAGTATCTTCCTGTTATGTTTTTTTATGTCCAATGTTCAATCCCTACGTTTTTTAAAATGTGATTTGATTATTAGACCATTTTAAAAACACACAAAAAAAGACACGTTAATAAATAAAATACTTTTACCAAATCAAATATGCAGTGCATTCAGAAAGTATTCAGACCCCTTTACTTTTTCCACATTTTGATACGTTACAGCCTTATTCTAAAATGGATTCAATTGTTTTCCCCCCCTCATCAATCTACACACAATACCCCATAATGACAAAGCAAAAACAGGTTTTTAGAAATTTAGGAAATATTACATTTACATAAGTATTCAGACCCTTACTCAGTAATTTGTTGAAGTACCTTTGTCAGCGATTACAACATAGAGTCTTCTTGAGTATGACGCTACAAGCTTGGCACACATGTATTTGGGGAGTTTCTCCCATTCTTCTCTGCAGATCCTCTCAAGCTCTGTCAGGTTGGATTATTTTCAGGTCTCTCCAGAGATGTTCAATCGGGTTCAGGTCCGGGCTCTGGCTGGGCCACTCAAGGACATTCAGAAGCCACACCTGCGTTGTCTTGGCTGTGTGCTTAGGGTCGTTGTCCTGTTGGAAGGTGAACCTTTGCCCCAGTCTGAGGTCCTGAGCGCCCTCAAAGCTCATCACTAAGATAAGGACCCTGGGACTAAACACCTCTCTCTGCAACTGGATCCTGGACTTCTTGACGGGCCGCCCCAAGGTGGTAAGGGTAGGTAACAACACATCTGCCATGCTGATCCTCAACACGGGGGCCCCTCAGGGGTGCGTGCTCAGTCCCCTCCTGTACTCACTGTTCATACATGACTGCATGGCCAGGCACGACTCCAACACCATCATTAAGTTTGACGACGACACAACAGTGGTAGGCCTGACCACCGACAACGATGAGACAGCCTATAGGGAGGAGGTCAGAGACCTGGCCGTGTGGTGCCAGGATAACAACCTCTCCCTCAACGTCATCAAGACAAAGGAGATGATTGTGGACTACAGGAAAAGGAGGACAGAGCACGCCCCCATTGTCATCGACGGGGCTGTAGTGGAGCAGGTTGAGAGCTTCAAGTTCCTTGGTGTCCACATCACCAACAAACTATCATGGTCCAAACACACCAAGACAGTCGTGAAGAGGGCACGACAAAGCCTATTCCCCCTCAGGAAACTGAAAAGATTTGGCATGGGTCCTCAGATCCTCAAAAAGTTCTACAGCTGCACAATCGAGAGCATCCTGACTGGTTGCATCACTGCCTGGTATGGCAACTGCTCAGCCTCCGACCGCAAGGCACTACAAGGTAGTGCGTACAGCCCAGTACATCGCTGGGGCCAGGCTTCCTGCCATCCAGGACCTCAGTGGACCAGGTGGTGTCAGAGGAAGGCCCTAAAAATTGTCCAGCCACCCTAGTCATAGACTGTTCTCTCTGCTACCGCACGGCAAGCAGTACCAGAGCGCCAAGTCTAGGTCCAAAAGGCTTCTTAACAGCTTCTACCGCCAAGCCATAAGACTCCTGAACAGCTAATCAAATGCCTACCCGGACTATTTGCATTGCCCCACCCCCCCCCCCCACCCCCTCTTTTACGCTGCAGCTACTCTCTGTTTATTATCTATGCATAGTCACTTTAACTCTACCTACATGTCCATATTACCTCAATTACCTCGACTAACCTGTGTCCCCGCACACTGACTCTGTACCGGTACCCCCTGTATATAGCCTCGCTACTGTTATTTTACTGCTGCTCTTTAATTATTTGTTATTTTTACTTTTATTTATCTATTTTTTAATTAACACTTATTTTTCTTAAAACTGCTTTGTTGGTTAAAGGCTTGTAAGTAAGCATTTCACTGTAAGGACTACACCTGTTGTATTTGGCGCGCGTGACAAATACAATTTGATTTGATTTGATTTGAGACTGCTTCATTTCCTGTGATGTCCATTGACTTCCTGTTATCCACTTCTTGCTTCCTGTAGAGTGTGCCCTGGAGGATGAGACCTATGAGGACGGGGCAGAGACTCAGGTGGAGTGTAACCGCTGTGTCTGTGCCTGTGGGAACTGGGTCTGCACAGCTGTGACCTGCGAAGGTGAGACTAGCTGTCACACACCTGCCCTTATAGTAGGCCCTTACTTATCTGGGTCATAGTGTGTGGGGATTTTGCTCTAATTATGTTATTTCTCTCTCTCTCTCTCTCTCTCTCTCTCTTCTCTCTCTCTCTCTCTGTCTCTCTCTCTCTGTCTGTCTCTCTGTCTCTCTCTGTCTGTCTGTCTCTCTCTCTCTCTCTCTCTCTCTGTCTGTCTGTCTGTCTGTCTGTCTGTTCTGTCTGTCGTATGGTCTGTCTGTCTGTATGTCTGTCTGTCTGTCTGTCTGCTCTCTCTCTCTCTCTCTCTCTCTCTCTCTCTCTCTCTCTCTAGCTCTCTCTATCTCTCTCCTCTCTCTCTCTCTCTCTCTCTCTCTATCTCTCTATCTCTCTCCTCTCTCTCTCTCTCTCTCTCTCCTCTCTCACTCTCTGACTCTCTCTCTCTCTATTCCTCCCTCCCTGCAGGCACAAAGAAGGTGCCTGCTGTGGAGAAGACTGAAGGTGCTGACCAGGAGATGACAGAGGAGGAGTGGACACGGAGAGTGGCTGAGCTCAACAAACATCAGGTTAGTTTGACACCATGAACAGCACATGAGGTTTCACTGCTACTGGTTAAAGGGGCAATCTGCAGTTGCTACATCCATTTTTGAACGTATAAATTAATGATATGTACCCATTGATTCTTAAAGAGTATAACTTGTAAATGCCTCATGAACTTAGTTCAACTGTCGCACTCCATCCAAACCCAAAATATAAGCTTGTTTTACTCCAATGTTTGTAAGCAAAGTAAATGTAAACAAACATTGTATAGCCCCAAAACATTGTTAAAACTATAATTTTGATATCATGGATGGTCAGTCCTTACATCCATAGCTCTGTCTATGAATTTGAGAGTGGTTATAGTACATTTCTCCAGGCCATCCCTCAGTTTTTAACCGAAACACTAAAGAAGTGTTATTGTTTCAATTGTGGATTGCCCCTTTAAGGAACAGTATAGGTCAATGAGGCTGTGTACTTATACAACAAACACACCTGTACTTAGAACTTTATGAGTCAATTACTGTAATAATCAGGTCCTATATTTGGCATAATTTACATGCCCAGGCTACTAGGTATGTCTCACTTTTTGGCTGCATCTTTACTGTACATCAGACCTGGGCTTTGCTTTCTTTTTAATACTAAGAGCATTTGATTGAGCCTGCCTGGGGTGCAGATGAGCAGTGTTTGCACATTTGGGACTATTCCATTGGTTCCATTGTGTCAGGCAAGCTCAATCAAGAGCAGCTAATGTAATTGAAAGGGGAAAAACTATATGAACCCATACTATATATACTGTGTACCATAACGGTACTTGTACTACAGTAGCCAATGATCTTGTTCATTTAACTCCTGTTAGGAAACTGTGGAAAAGATGAAAGTGAGCATCACTATTCTTTTTATATTTTACAATGTTCATTATTATGATTTTTTTAAAACTGTACCAATGTATATTATAATATTATTGTGTAGAGGGGAGACTAGTTGAATTGTGTGTACCTACAGACACTACTGTTATCCTATTTGAGTAACACTCCCAAGCCTTGGCAAGAATCCCCATCACCTAGTGGTGGGTTGATCATTTCATTATTTTTTGTTGATTTGTTGTTTTTGTTGTTGTTTCTGGCAGTCAAATTAGCTCATCTGTAGAAAATACAAGAGTTTGTGACTTGGAGCTATAAAGAAAGCACAAGTTGTAAATAACTACTTTTAGCAGAAAATGACTTCACAGTTGCCACGTCACATACCAACCACATCACAGAGGATTGAGATAAGCAATTCAGCAAGAAAGTCTTATCAAATGCATTGACCTTACAGGGTGCTATTCCAGACACCTGGGTATTATATAGGGCCAGTAAATCATATCAAAGATGAACACATGGCTGAATTGTAAATGTTTCCTGAATGCCATTATAAATTCATCAACAGTGTGATTACACTTGCCTGTCAGTGTTACTACTCATATCATATATACAGTAAAACCCATTGACCCATAATATCTGATGGTGCCAGGGTTCAATCTGTTAGGAAAAGGAAAATGAGGAAGGTCCGCACTCAGTCTTTGCAGTGAAAGACAATAATATTTATTCCATCTCTATTTTCTGGTCTATGCACCAACAATATAACAAGAATCTATGATTAGATGTGTGCAGGGTTTACTCCTTTTTCAAGGTAAAGTGATGATGCTAGGGTTCAATCTGTAGGCTACATGTCTGCACTGATGAGGTAATGTTGTCCATCTATTTACAAATGGCTTTTCTATCATGGGGTTGTAGATGTATTACTCCATACAATGAATCTAATGCCAAAACACTAGCCTGGATACTGAATTGGATTGTGAAGTGAAACTGAAGAATTCAGTATGGATCCAGGCTACCAAAACACATATATGGTGCTTGTTTGAATCACTGTAGTGACAGTACTATATTGCTAGGAGAGTTTGTGATAACGTTTGTGTCTCCTTCTCAAAACCAGCAATAAAGTTGATCAATTCTAGAATGTTCGGGGTAAAATATTTCAAGGATGCTGCAGACATGGACTGACTAGAAAAATATGTTGATGGAGTGGATGAAATGTAGTTTTGGATTTGTAATGAACAGGATAATAGTATTTGATAATACAAGTGCTATGGGTCCCTCCTACTAGTTTGAAATACACAATTGTCTGGTCCGTCTGAGACATACATCATCTGTGCATGCTTTGCCAACATTACTGCAATTCATTTGATCGTTGATGTTTCTTTGGAAGCTGATGCATGTCGGTCTCTCAGGATATAGGTGCTTTGATTGGATGACTTTGTTCGGCACAAGGATTGGGAAAAACTGCCAAAACAACCTCTAAAAGACATTTTAGATGGCATTACTGAAACCAAAGTTCAAATGCAAGTACAGTATGTGTAGTAACTTTTAGAAACTTGAGCTTTCCTTTCTTTGTTTAGAACTGTCTATGTCCTGTATGTCTATTTTTGACTTCAATGTCTTTATAATGTGTGGTATTCAGTGCCTTAAATGTTCACTAAGACCTATGGGACATCCTGCTGTCATTCTCTTAGAGCAATGGCTGTCACTATGAAACCATGTATGGTCTAATTGAAGTTAAAAACCTGTGTTTCTTTTCATTGTTATGTGTTATTGTCTCAATTTTAGAATAATACCAGCTCACTTTGTTCACTGTTACAGTAGACTTTTAGTAAAACATTTACTCCCTGTTGATTATTAAGACTACTGTACTGTCAAAAAGGTATGCAAGCTTTATACATGTCAATAAATACATTTAATAGACCTACTGAAATGGTTATGCAAATTGTTATTGTTACACATTTGACTGAATGTGTGTGTGTGCCTGCATGCGTGTGTTCATTGGATACTTAAGCAATAAGGCACGAGGGGGTGTGGTATATGGCCAACATACCACGGCAAAGTGCTGTTCTTAAGCAAGTGACTGGATACAGCGGAGTGCCTGGATACAGCCCTTTGCAGTGGTATATTGGCCATATACCACAAACCCCAGAGGTGCCTTATTGCTATTATACACTGGTTAGGAACATAATTAGAACAGTACAAATAAACTTGATGCCCTCAATCTCACACAAATTATCAAGGAACCTACCAGGTACAACCCTAAATCCGTAAACATGGGCACCCTCATAGATATCATCCTGACTAACTTGCCCTCTAAATACACCTCCGCTGTCTTCAACCAGGATCTCAGCGATCATTGCCTTATTGCCTGCGTCCGTAACGGGTCCACGGTCAAACGACCACCCCTCATCACTGTGAAACGCTCCCTAAAACACTTTAGCGAGCAGGCCTTCCTAATTGACCTGGCCCAGGTATCCTGGATGGATATCGATCTCATTCCGTCAGTAGAGGATGCCTGGTCGTTCTTTAAAAGTGCTTTCCTCTCAATCTTAAATAAGCATGCCCCATTCAAAAAATTCAGAACTAAGAACAGATATAGCCCCTGGTTCTCCTCAGACTTGACTGCCCTTGACCATCACAAAAACATCCTGTGGTGTAATGCATTAGCATCAAATAGCCCAATATACACAAGCAGTTAAGAAAGCAAAGGCTAGCTTTTTCAAACAGAAATTTGCATCCTGTAGCACTAACTCCAAAAAAGTTTTGGGACACTGTAAAGTCCATGGAGAATAAGAGCACCTCCTCCCAGCTGCCCACTGCACTGAGGCTAGGAAACGCTATCACCACCGATAAATCTACAATAATCGAGAATTTCAACAAGCATTTTGCTATGGCTGGCCATGCTTTCCACCTGGCTACCACTACCCCGGCCACCAGCTCTGCACCCTTCGCTGCAACTTGCCCATGTCCCCCCCCCCCCACTTCTCCTTCACACAAATTCAGACAGCTGATGTTCTGAAAGAGCTGCAAAATCTGGACCCCTACAAATCATCTGGGCTAGACAATCTGGACCCTTTCTTTCTAAAATTAGCAGCCGAAATTGTCGCAACCCCTATTACTAGCCTGTTCAACCTCTCTTTCGTAACGTCTGAGATCCCCAGAGATTGGAAAGCTGCCGCGGTCATCCCCCTCTTCAAAGGGGGTGACACTCTAGATCCAAACTGTTACAGACCTATATCCATCCTGCCCTGCCTTTCGAAAGTTTTTGAAAGCCAAGTTAACAAACAGATTACCGACCATTTCGAATCCCACCGTACCTTCTCCGCTATGCAATCCGGTTTCCGAGCTGGTCATGGGTGCACCTCAGCCACGCTCAAGGTCCTAAACGATATTATAACCGCGATCGATAATAGACAGTACTGTGCAGCCGTTTTCATCGACCTGGCCGAGGCTTTCGACTCTGTCAACCACCGCATTCTTATTGGCAGACTAAATAGCCTTGGTTTCTGAAATGACTGCCTTGCCTGGTTCACCAACTACTTCTCAGATAGAGTTCAATGTGTCAAATCGGATAGCCTGTTGTCTGGACCTATGGCAGTCTCTATGGGGGTGCCACAGGGTTCAATTCTTGGCCGACTCTTTTCTCTGTGTATATGATGTCGCTCTTGCTGCTGGTGAATCTCAGATCCACCTCTACGCAGACGACACCATTTTGTATACATCTGGCCCTTCATTGGACACTGTGTTAACAAACCTCCAAATGAGCTTCAATGCCATACAACACTCCTTCCGTAGCCTCCAACTGCTCTTAAACACTAGTAAGACTAAATGCATGCTCTTCAATCGAACGCTGCTGGCACCCGCCCACTCAACTAGAATCACTACTGTCGGCGGGTCTGACCTAGAGTATGTGGACAACTACAAATACCTAGGTGTCTGGTTAGACTGTAAACTCTCCTTCCAGACTCACATTAAGCATCTCCAATCCAAAGTTAAATCTAGAATTGGCTTCCTATTTCGCAACAAAGCCTCCTTCACTTATGCTGCCAAACATGCCCTCATAAAACTGACTATCCTACCGATCCTTGACTTTGGCGATGTCATTTACAAAATAGCCTCCAACACTCTACTCAGCAAATTGGATGTAGTCTATCACAGTGCCATCCGTTTTGTAACCAAAGCCCCATATACTACCCACCACTGTGACCTGTACACACTTGTTGGCTGGTCCTCACTACATATTCGTCGCCAAACCCACTGGCTGCAGGTCATCTATAAATCACTGCTAGGCAAATCCCCGCCTTATCTTAGCTCATTGGTCACCATAGCAACACCCACCCCTAGTATGAGCTCCAGCAGGTACAGTATATCTCACTGGTCATCCCCAAAGCCAACACCTCCTTTGGCCGCCATTCCTTCCAGTTCTCTGCTGCCAATGACTGGAACGAACTGCAAAAATCTCTGAAGCTGGAGACTCTTATCTCCCTCACTAACTTTAAGCATCAGTTGTCAGAGCGCCTTACCGATCACTGCACCTGTACACAGCCCATCTGAAATTAGCCCACCCAACTACCTCATCCCCATATTGTTCTTTATTTTGCTTATTTGCACCCCAGTATCTCTATTTGCACATCATCTCTTGCACATCTATCATTCCAGTGTTACAACTAAATTGTAATTATTTTGCACTATGGCCTATTTATTGCCTTACCTCCATAACTTGCTACATTTGTACACACTGTATATATATATTTTCTGTTGTATTTTTGACTTTATGTTTTGTTTACCCCATATGTAACTCCGTGCTGTTGTTTTTAGCACTGCTTTGCTTTATCTTGGCCAGGTAGCAGTTGTAAATGAGAACTTGTTCTCAACTGGCTTAACTGGTTAAATAAAGGGTTTGGGACATATGGCTTACCACTAAAACTAGTAGGGCCAATTACAAAATATTAGATATGGTTTCTCGTAGGCTAATAGAAATGAGACCTGGGGTTTCCAATTGCAAAGTTAATTGACCATGTATTTCAATGTGAAAACAGATAACAGCTTAGAAAGCATCCACACGAGTGCGCAAGCTCGATTTCTGGACATGGAGACGTTCTGTGGCATGCGAGCAAGCAGGCATGCACGAGTTAATTTAAACTGGGGGCGGAGAATCCAACGCTTGACCAGCCTCGTAACACCGACTACATGTCAATTTGGTGCAAATGTGACAGCTGTGCATGTGCGGTCTGTCGTGTGATTGAGTAAAGAGGCTAAGTAGCACAAGGCTATCCGGTCGTGATCAGTGCTGAAATACCTTATGCTTTTTTAAATCACATTGTAGTTCATTCATATGTTTGAACTTCCTGGATAGCATTGGTATTGAATATGGAACTATTTGCAACAGCTGATCAGGGGGGTTGCATTTTGGACATGTCCCATCTGAATTTGGAGAGTTTAAATTTGGACACTGTCGGTGACGAACGGAGGAGAGTGACCCAACAACTCTACCTGTATAACAACCGACTGACAGTGCTTCCCGCTTCGGTATGTCTATTCTCCAAACTGGAAGTTCTGGATATAAGCAACAATGGATTAACGGTTCTCTGTGAGGACATTCAACGTTTGTCAAACCTCAAAACACTAATAGCCAAGAACAACCGTTTGAACGAATTTTCGTTCCCAAAGGAATTTGGGTCCATGCAGATAGACACATTGAACTTCAGTGGGAACATATTTGAAGAGGTGCCCATTCAGTTTCTAAAACTGCAGCGATTAAAATATCTGTCTCTTGGGGGTAACAGACTCAAAGCTATCCCCGCAGAGATAGAAAATGTTACCAGGTAAGATAGACAGACTACCGATACATTATAGCGGTTAATAGAGTTTTAACAATGTAGGCTAATGGTATTTGTTACAACGCAACTAACTACCCACACTGTAGTACACCATGGAATTACCATGTAATCATAGGTTTTATAGCCACTTAATATAAAGGGGGACTTCTAACAAACAGCTATCTGTATACAGCTATGCATGACGAAGTGAGGTTGTTGAAACTTACATGCGCTTTAAGCTTTTAAACTTCTGAGCTTCTAAGCTCTTAGCTTCTAATAACCCAACGTTGGCACCCTTCCTGATAATAGCATGCTCATAATAACCATTATGTAGTAGTAGTCTAGAATATTTAGCTCTGTTGCCGTCTTAATGAAATGACTGGGGCTCCAGAACTGCAGCCGTAATTTCATGGTGTGCATGCAGGAACTAGATAGTGAAGGTTAAGATAACGGGCAAATAAGTTAGCATAAAATCAATACTGTTTCTGTATTTACCTAGATAGTTTTCACATGAGCATGTGGTTCCTGATTATGTCCTGCATGATGGTACAGGAGCCCATAGTCTCCTCCATCTTGTTGCTGCATTGACACATCTTTGGAGTCGGCTCATCAGTGTGACTTAGCCTGTCTGGCTGGCTGTGTGCCATGTTACAAAACCAGGTCATTTGACATATTGCCTTGCCCCAGTGGGGAACTGGCACCGTGAGAGGAAAATGGGGGTTTAGGATTTGTAACAGAGTGAATAATGTATAGAATAAAGACAGGATGAAAAGGTCCATTGGACACCACCCAAAAGCCTATAGCAGTTTCAGACTGTATTGTAGCTAAGTTAGCAGCTGTGCTTTGCACCATAAGGCCTCCCCTCTTGACCTTTATCATAGGATTCTCTCTCTCGCTCTCACTCTCTCTCTCTCTAAAAAGAGAAGACATTTTACAATCAGGGTTCTTTTTACAATCATCTCTTCTCTTCTTCTGTATATCTTCCATTGACATAAAATTGTCAAACACTGGATTTAAATTCTTAGCTAACATTTTTCCACTGTATGTTGTGATTTTAAGAATAAAAGTAGCCCAGACTTCAATCATCCTTGTAACACTAAACAATTCAATGGTACATAGAAGTGAATGTACAGATATTATATCTTAATTTGACCAGTTTCTCACAGCAGGTGTTTTTAAACCTTGGATACACTACACGTTTGCATTTCCTGCTGTGCAGGAAAATTCTCTGTGACAATACAGTTGTATGATCTTAATTTGAACACTCTTTTGTTGCTGTGAACTTTCCTGCATAGCAGGACATACAAACTTGTAATGTATTCAAGGTTTGAAAAGGCTTCTAAAATTTGTCAATTCCAATGTAAGATGTCAGACTTGATTTGCCCTAATGCAAAATGTATCAACCCATAAAAACAATGTATATTAATTATAATCCACATATTAATTCACCTTTCCTGTTGCTGCAGGATTATTTTTATGCTGTATGAACTGGTTCAAATTAAGATCCTATATCTGTATGTTAATTTGGCAATGTTCTCTGTCATTCCAAGTGTGAAGAAAAACACTTTTCTCTGTTTTGATGCAGTCTGGAGATGCTTTATTTGGGTGGGAACCTCATCACCTCCATCCCCCCAGAGCTGGCCAGCCTTCGCAGTCTCAGATACTTGGTCCTTTGTGACAACCAGATACAGAGTGTACCGCCCCAACTCACCAGGTGAGGGCCATCCAACACTGACTTTACATAATGTGAAAGTTAGTAGCTCGCTCATGTGACCGACTGTTTAAAATAAAAAAAATTGGGTTTCCTTTGTGTCATAAGACTGTGTTAGCCTCCTGAGCTAAAGTCATGATTCACGGTCATGTCTGAATATGTCTGGTTGTAGACTCTACTCCCTGCGCTGCCTCAGTCTCCATAACAACCTGCTCACCTACCTACCGCGGGAGATCCTCAGCCTGGTGCACCTGCAGGAGCTCAGTCTCCGCGGCAACCCCCTGGTGGTCCGCTTCATCAAGGATATGACTTACGACCCTCCCTCCCTGTTGGAGCTGGCTGGACGGACCATCAAGTCCCGCAACCTGCCCTACCACCCCAATTACCTGCCTGGAAATCTGGTGCACTACCTGGACCTGGCCAGCAAGTGTCCCAACCCTAAATGTACCGGTAAGTAAAGGAGAGGGGACAAGTTTAGGTTACATACTTATGTACTAGCATTTGTGAGTGGAGGAGGCTCGTCCATGGAGGAAGAGGAGGCTGGTCCTCCTCAATAATTTCAGGAAAGATTCAAATAAAACATATTCAAAAATCCTCTTTGTAAATAAAATCACACCTTGAGATATTTGTATTGCTCTCATATTGTTGTGCAACTTGTCTCCTTCCTCTCAGGTGTGTACTTTGACTCGTGTGTGAGGCACATCAAGTTTGTGGACTTCTGCGGGAAGTATCGGCTACCCTTCATGCACTACCTGTGCTCCCCAGAATGCACCTCTCCCTGCAGCTCCAACCCGCAGAGCGACGCTGAGTCGGAGGACGAGAAGGGCGTGTCGGCCGACAGGCTGCAGAGAGTGCTTCTGGGATAGAAGGAAGTGGAAGGACCTTGAGTTCACTGAAACACATACTGGATGATGGACAGTTTCCATGACTCCCAACTGACCTGACTAACCCAACTTCTCCTGTACCAAACACGATAAACACTGAGCTGTTCACTTACAATAGAGTGCCACTTTCAACATGAGATGTAGGATTCCTCAAGGACTGATTGTAACGTAAATTAACCACAGATTATTATTTATATTTCGAGCCGTAGCGTTTTAAACATCTAACTGAAGCTACTGATTTTGTTGTAGAGCACTCATCAAATGTATTTTTATGTAGATCCTCAGTTTGTAGTTTCTGTGTTAACATGAAGGGATGAATGAATTGTATGTCAAATTGATTTTCTTTACAATATAGACTCAGAAACGCAGAATGTGTTCCATGCTTGTTTTAAATCACCTCTCTCTTCTTAAGTTACCCTTTAATTGTGATACTTCTGTTGACACTTTGGCTGCTTGCACATGCAGTGCTAATATAGTCGCTGTCGCCTGTAGCATTTACACACCATTACTGCCTTCCCTTATCTCACAAAACAACTCTTTGGTGTTACAAACCAAGGCGAAAGTTGTGTATGTTAATGTGATGATCTCTTGCACAAAGAGACTAATCCAGAGCTTGTACTGTGAATTAACATGTGTTTTACATTGGTTTGATTCATTTTGTCGTGACGTGACTTACTTTAATGTATGACTGTTATTTATCCAATCACCTTACCATGTTTAATTGTCACTCGATTAAATTAATCATGTAACAATTAACTCATTAGGAATTTGGGGCACCACGGAAGAAGTTGTTTAACGAGTTACCGTCTCCTGAATTAAAATATATATGTTATATATATCGATAACAGTCACTTATTAAATAATTACCTCTTATCAGTCTCATTCTGAACGTCGCATAATCCTTGAGCATGCAAGAACCCTAACCTTATTGATGAATCAGCAATACACAAATTGGCTTAATTATTTATTTACTAACAAAATAATTACACAATAAAAAAACACACACACACACATAGGTTATTGATTACTAACGTAATACAATGAAAACAGGTCCCTAGTGGACTGGACTAACAATAGTATGAAGGAGGGTCAGTGTGGAAGGGAATCAGAGATTCAAACTGTCGTAGTTACTTTGGAAACTACGCTCACAGTAATCATAATACTTATGCACCCTAATAATCGTTCATTCGGATTAGAAATGCAACATGTATTTACGTGTTGCTGTCCTCGGTAGTTGAGTTGATGATGTAGGACTCATGTTTGCCCACCAGAGATCCCAATGACTTCGGAGAGTTTCTGGTCGTAGTAGTGGTTAGAATGGATACTTCAGATGTACCAGCGGTTGTCTGAGAGGGATTGTCCTTTCCAACTTGTGTCTTTAGTGAAAGTTATCTAGACGACTATACATGCCAGCTGCAGACTGAAATGATAAGGTCTAGTGCAGGGGTGTCAAACATACGGCCCGCGGGCCGGATCAGGCCCGCAAACGGGTTTAATCCGGCCCGCGAGATGATTTTTGAAAAAAAAAATATTTATTTTTTTAAGTATAAAAAATGCGCTGCAATTTTTCTATAAAATAAACTGCTGTTCCAATTGAGTCCACTGGATGGCGCAATAGCAATTGTGTTAAGCAAGCAAACTGTTTATACCGGTGCAGAGCAAGTAGGTCAAGCACGTGCAGCCAATGAGCTACTTTGTTTTGCCCGCGATATTTATTACGGCTTCTACTTTTAACATTATGTGCTTTGGCACCAGTGGCGGCTCCTGAAAAAATTCTCAGGGGGGGCAATTTTTCTGATGATTTAGGTGACCTACACACATTTTAAAAAAGATATGTCCAGCAACAACATGAAGACAGGGGCAGCATATAAGTCAATACCAGAAGCATTTATTGACTGATCTCAAAAGTGTTGGCTTACCAGGGTTGGTGGAGCCCTCAGTTTCATCTTTGCCTCGCAAAGCTAACTCAAACACTCCGCAAAACTTCACACACTGGATTAGCCGGCTGAGGATGTGGCGGTTCTTGCTAATGTCGTAGTAAATATATTTGTTATAGTGAATATGGAATATGATATGTTGAGTAAAATGTTGTGCTAAGATCTATTTAGGTCAGGAGCTGGTTATAAGTTCTGTTCCTATCCAATAACAATGGACAAAAGGGTCCTATCTTGTCAGCCTTGTCAGCAGGTGGCCAATGACAACACCCACGCCATAGGCCTCTCAGTTCTTCCAACTCACGAGTTCTTGCTCTGAGGACACACACATACACACACACAAACACACACACACACACACATCATCACTGTTAAACACACACACACACACACACACACACATCATCACTGTTAAACACACACACACACACACACACACACAAAAATCCCCTCTCTTAGGCTGAACATTTGAAGACAGAGAACCCGACTCAGAGCCAATGCAACAGTGACACTAGCCTGGAGGTGACCTCGCCCAACTCATCAGGACCAATCAGAAGATCAGAACTACTAGATTCAACCTACTTCATTTATTGCATAAAACGTCTGCACACAATGAAACATTGTCTTCAGATAACGAACGGGTCCGTGCACGCGATTCCAGATATCTTTACCTCTGAATAAACTGCCTTTATTATACCATATCCACCCTGTCCAAAGTCTCTACTTGGTCTCAGTTCTCCAGTAAACTTGTGATTATCAACACTAACCTCATCGTTGTGGCGGCGGACAGCTAGCCTGTATCCCTCATCCAGTTGAGTGGCAATGTTCACTCCCCAAAGCAGACCATCTCAAACAGCTATCCATGTGGGTCTTTGACAGCTCATGTTTCTTAATCTTTCCTGAAAGATGGTGCATGTCCGTTACACACCAGTCGCTGTCCAAGCGGTGCTGTCTGCCGTGCCGCCTTCAGGGTGAAAGAGTAAGCAGGGGGTAGCAGAAGACTGCATTAGCTACATCGCAGCCTGCTAGCCAGGTTTTTCGTTCGTACTAATTTTTGGAAAATCCTCGGGTGTAGGACTTTCCGCCTTTAGTAGAAACCTGTTGAATTATTAAATTTGGTCTGGGAGGTCCTAATTGTTTCGTTGCCAATTTATCTTGATTTGTTCGCCGACAAAAAGTAACTTATTTCAAAGAGACAATCGAGTTGCACTGAACGCTATAGCAATCTTACCAGTAGTACGTGAATTGATTGACGCTGCTACCCGCTCTTTTCATAGTTACGTTCATGGTTACGTTACGTATGACGAAAGCGCGTAAGTGCAAGCCCTCAGAAACCCATAGAGATTGTATTGAAAGCTCAGATATTTGAAAAAAATTGATTTTACATGGGAGTCTATGACAGACTTCTGGGCGATTTTCAACCTGACTGAAATCGCCCCAAAAGGGGCGACTTTAGCCTGATTGGACATTAAGTGGCAGATCAGACCAGACGTCTAGATTACAACACTGATAACTACTGTTGCCGTGATATAATTGATTAGAAAAAAAATCCCTTCCTTTTCCCGTTTGGCAGTGCGTCGCCCATATCGCCCTATTGAACACACCGCCCCTGTTTGGCACCCTCATTGCCCCAATATGTCTCTGTCAAAACAGAGAAAAGTGGACGCAGAGTGCAGAGTGTTCCAAGAAAAATGGTCATCCTATTTAATCACGGAATTGAATGGGAAAGCTGTATGTTTGGTGTGTTCAGAGCATGTTGCAGTGCTGAAAGAATATAACCTTCGTCGCCACTAGTCTTCATTCCGACAAATATGACAACTTTCAAGGACAGCGGAGATGAGAGAAGGTGAACTGTTGGCGGGTCTGAAGAAACAGCAGTCTGTGTTTACTCACAGCCGAGACATCAGTGACGCTGCAGTGAAAGCTAGCTACCTCATTGCTAATGAAATCGCAGTGGCTTCAAAACCATTTAGTGAAGGTGAATTTGTAAAAACATGCATGATGAAGGCAGCGGAGATTGTGTGCCCTGAAAAGCGGCAGGCTTTTGCAAATATCAGCCTGACAAGAAACACAGTTGCAGACAGGATTTCCGATCTTTCAGTGGATTTGGACAGCCAGTTGAAGCAAAAAGTAAAGTCATTTATTGCGTTTTCGGTTGCAATTGATGAAAGCACGGACATTACAGATGTTGCACAACTGGCCATTTTTTCATCTGCGGAGTTGATGACACATTGACCGTCACCGAGGAGTTCGTGCAGTTGGTGCCGATGACAGATACAACGACAGCAGCTGATATTTTTACCGCACTCGTCGGCACGCTGGACAGGGTCGGAGTGGACTGGTCCCGCGCTGTCAGCCTGGCTACAGATGGTGCGCCCTCAATGATCGGGAAAAAAGCAGGCGTTGTGACAAAGTTCAGAGAGAAAGTGCAATCTGCAAATGGAGGATGTGATTTTTTGACTTTTCACTGTATTTTGCACCAGGAGGCTTTGTGTTGCAAGTCATTAAAGATGGATAACGTCATGAAGGTGGTCATCCAAACTGTTAATTTCATCCGATCCAGAAGCCTGAATCACCGTCAGTTTGACAGCCTTCTCAGAGAGAAAGACCACATCTATGGCCTGCCATAGCACACTGAGGTAAGATGGTTAAGCCGAGGTGCTGTGCTGAGGCGTTTCTTTGATTTACGAGAAGAAATTGAACATTTCATGGAAGAAAAGGGCAAACCAGTGTTAGAATTTCATTCCGCAGAATGGATGCCGGACCTTGCATTTATGGTGGATGTTACAGAGCACCTGAATAACTTGAACAAACAGCTGGTTGTCACGCAGTATTATGACAGCATACGTTCTTTCAAGTTGAAGCTGTCATTGTGGGAGACGCAACTTGCCGGTGGTGATGCAGCTCACTTCCCCTGTCTGAAAAATGTGTGCGCGACCCAACATGTGGCAGACATGAAGCGGTTCAAAGATAAAATAACTGGACTGTTACGGGAGTTTGAGCAACGCTTTCAGATTTATGTTTATATGTTTTTATGTTGATGTGCTA